GAAAGTTTCACTCACCTTGTACAAGCATTCTTCCTCTGAACTACTTATAGTGTGATGGTGGTGTGAGGAGGTTTAGTAATTTTGAATAGAGATTTAGTCCTGATTTCGACTGTACTACTAATAATGAGAATGACAGTGTTGATGATGGTGTTAATTTCGTTACTTACGTTACATTACCCATATTGCAGCTGATGAAGTTTATGATGAAAAAGCTAGCCATGTTTTGAACCAAAGTTTGGTAAGGTATGGTGAGAACAGATTTTAGGTTGAGTGACACGGCGTAGTAGCAGTTGTCCACTCATGCATGCATGCGTTCGTCACGACAGGTGTTGTTAGAGTTGAGGCGCATCCAGTTTGCACATCTGAATTTGTGGTAACCAGCTAGTCTCGCTTTTCAAAGTGACGAATTCAACTCACTACATCGTGGCTGGGAGGCTCTAAGGATGGACTGCGTTGGGAGCAAAATTTTAGTTAATCACATAGCCAGGATTATTGCACCGCGATAAGGTTGCTTTTCAAACAGGTGTGAAGTGAATAAAACACTGTTTTGTGACCGTACGAGTAGCTTTCCTTCGACTGTGACTGAATCCTGTTAGATTTCTCGTAGTTAACTGAAATGCTCTTTATATTCACCGGTGAATGTTCTGAGATACGTTCAGGAACACTTTAACATTCCATGTAATTTAAAAAAACTTTGCGTTCAATAAATCACCTATTACTTTGCGCGCACTCGGATTAATTGTTCTCAATATCGACTTTTTTATGAAAAGTCACTCACGATCGGCGATTTGGAATTCTTTCCTTTCTGATTCATCTCCTGACCACCATTCCGTGTACTTTTTCACCGAAACTGAAGATGGTTTACACTTCTCCACATTCCGCAAAACCACATTAAAACTTTCTGTTACCTCTGTCTTGACAACAACTCCGGTCACGTAAAGCGTCACCATGTACTGTATCGAAGAGCAATCTCCTAGTGCCAGCCAGGACACTTCAACGTTGGGCATGGAAGGCTGAACTCCAACTCGAACGTTGGTGGGTGCATCGAAATCTGGAACGTGAATAACGTAACAAGAATCGGTTTAGTTCGGATCGGAAGGACGACCTCAAGTTTGTGTTTCCTCTAATCCACTCATGCGACCAGATAGTGCATCATTTTGTGTGAACGTTTCTACTGATCAATGAGCTAGCTTTTGCAAGGATTCATAGCACTGCAGCTATACTTTCTTTGGTCGCACGAGCATTGTCACCAAAATGGATTGTAGAAAATCAGGTCCTCCAAGAGAATCTGTTTAGTGACAAAGTCTATAGCCTAAATGATGGGTGCGCTGA